CGGAGGAAGAAAGTGAAGCCTAGTTCTTGAGAACACGTATTGTATTTATTTGTTAAAAAAAAAAAAGTTGAGCTGATTGTAACCTTTCTAGTTTATTGAATTAGTAATCGCCATTTTGTGTGGAATACTTGATGCGGCCCAGTCTCACTCAGGCTTTACCTCCTGCGGCCTCCGGATGATTTGAGTTTGAGACCCCTGGTTTAGAGAGTAATGTGTCCTCTTTGGGTTGGAGAGTAATGTGTCATCTTTGGGTTAGAGAGTAATGTGTCATCTTTGGGTTAGAGAGTAATGTGTCATCTTTGGGTTAGAGAGTAATGTGTCATCTTTGGGTTAGAGAGTAATGTGTCATCTTTGCGTTAGAGAGTAATGTGTCATCTTTGGGTTAGAGAGTAATGTGTCATCTTTGGGTTAGAGAGTAATGTGTCATCTTTGGGTTAGAGAGTAATGTGTCCTCTTTGGGTTAGAGAGTGATGTTGGTATTAATAAAACAGAATTTTAAAAACAAAAAACATTCGAAGAAAATAAACTAAGTCAAGATCAACTGGATGATATACTTGCAGCGACCTCCAAGCGAGCTACTGGAAAGCTTCTACAATGCAATCAGACGTCCAGACTTTATAACACATAGGACGGTTGTGTGGATCGTCTGACGAAGACAGGCATAAATCACGGGTGATGATTGAACGTGACGTGACCCGGAACGGGTTGAATTTCCATTGATCCACATTTGAGATTCGACCGATGTGTCTTCTTCTTCTATATCTTAAGGGCCCATGATCAATTTATTGATCATTTTGGCTCCTATGCATGTAGGTGGGATTTGCAATGTTTCTGTTACTGGTGTTGATGAGGAAATCATGCACTAGGGGTTTGAAGGCTTGAGGCAATAGACACAAATGTGTCTAGTGTTGTCCTATGTGTAGTGTGCTCTTCCATCAGCATATTGTAACATAGTCGACCAATGCGTAGTGTCCACTTTCATCAACATATCGTAACCTAGTCGACCAACGTTAAGTGTGCTCTTCCATCAACATATTGTAAACATAAATGAATTGATGTGTTCAAAATTATAAACTTTTATTTCTTTTATATACAATGTGTTGATCAATATTGTATTGTAAGAGATTAAACTTTTATTTGTTATATATATACAACGTGTTGATCAATGTTGTATTGTGAGCGATTAAAGTTATATTTTAACTACGACGTTGTCGAATAAAAAAAATGCGCTTTGTTGCTTTGAATTGTCCAAATGAGCAATGAAAGTCTGTGCTGGGGGAAGCCAAGCCAATTAGATACACATTTTATGTTTCACACTGGTCGCGCAAATTATGTTCAGTATAATTATAGCAGCACGAGAAATTACCCCCCAGACAGTGGCCGGTGGCAGTACGTGAACTTCCCGTCCCAAGTTACTTGACCAAGCATGCATTCATTCATTCAAGCAACGCGCTTTATACAAACGCACCAATTAGTGCTAACCTCTGGGAACTTTATTTTGTGCGCCTATTGAACACAGCTTTTCAGCCAAAGATACCCAGCGAATTATTATTAATTAGTGATTCCGTTATTACCACATCAACTAAATGAAAACGGCGTCGTTATGTTGCTGGCCATATTGACCCCATTCCGCCTCCAAAAGCGCACGTCCAGAGGCGTAGCGAGGGGTGGGCGGCAGATGTCCCCAGGCGCCAGCTAGTTAGGGGCGCCAAAATGTGTTTTGATATTATTTTATTGATGAAAATAAAGGGCTTGAGAGTTGAAAAAATTTAAAAGGGTCGCTTTAAAATGGATCTTGTCCCCGGGCGCGAATCTTGTCCCCGGGCGCCAAACACCCTCGCAACGCCTCTGCGCACGTCCCCACCCAGGACGGGGTTCTGAACTTCCCAGAGGGGTGGTTGGTGTTACATGTTAGGCGGTGAGCATGTAATTTCATTTTAAACCTTGGCTGTGCACATTTAAAAGCACCTTAAAGCTACGCTGTGCACATTAATAGCATCTTAAACCTAGGCAGTGCACATATTATATCATCTTAAATCTAGGCTGTGCACACAAAAGATCATCTTAAAACTAGGCTGTACACATGTAATACCATCTTAAACCTAGGCTGTACATATGTTATTTCATTTTAAACCTTGGCTGTGCATATTTAAAAGCATCTTAAAGCTTCGCTGTGCACATGTAATATCATCTTAAACCTAGGCTGTACACGTGTTATATTATCTTAAACCTAGACTGTGCACATGTATTATCATCTTAAATCTAGGCTGTGCACAAGTTAAATCACCTTAAATCTAAGCTTTGCACATGCAAAATCATTGACTTAAATAATACTTTTAGAAAGACAATATGGCGCTTACAATAATAGTGAATTGCAATATGTATATTAATTTTAAGAATCAATGATAGTGGTATACTGATAGTGATTTAGTGATGTTGGTACTAATAGTGTAGAAGCATTTCACTCAGATTCTTTCAAAAATGATAGTGATTTTCAATTATTTTACGTAAATCGAATCGATATAATTGGATAAAAATCGACCTGGTTTAATGTCAGTCTTGGTAATCTTTCAGTTGTAAGCTTTATTATTATCAAACAAGTTGTAGCCCGCAAAACAAGGGTGGGGCATAGGCCTGAACCTCCCATCTCCATTACTACTTGAACAACCTGCGTTCAAGTAACGCACTTTATTAGTATTCCAATTAGTGTTAAGCCCCCTACCAGATACGCCACCGTACTCTTTTTTTCACGCCCCTGAATTAATAGTAATATTCTTATGTCTCAACACATTTAACACTGTAGATTTAATACATGCTTTCAATTAGGACAGTTTCCGTAAAACACTTGGCGGTATTTTTAAAACCAAATTGATTTAGCGCAGTTATCGGGAATTTTACTTTGCACACTTTTAAACTCACCATCTTTTCTTACTTTCGTTTCGTACATAGAGAATTAGATCTATATTCTTTGATAAAAAATAAATTTAATATAATAATTATTTTAAACGATTACGCACCAAACGCATTTGCGATATGTATTTTTTTTTTTTTTTAGTATCTCATTTAGCGCAGTTGTGAATTTTATTTTAACTTTCCTTTGAAAAACAAAAAAAAACAAAAATGATTTTGTGGGGGTTGGGGTGGGGGCTGAAACTTTGAAAGAATGTGTTGTCATTAGCAACGAGTCTTTGTGCCAAGTTTCAGCTCGATCGCTTGACGGGAAGTGGGACAATTCGCCGTCCGAAGATTATTTTTTTTGTCACCAACCCATTCAGTCAGCCAATCACAAACAAAAGCGAAGTTAATATAAAGGATTTAAGAATGGTTTGGTGTGCCGACCTTAATAAATGGAAAATCTGCTTGACTATTTCCTAAATATATATTTCAAGGGCGTGGAAATTTGGGGGATTTTTTTAAAACTTAAATTTTTGAGGAAACACTATCCCAAAAGCCCGATACTGTTACATCGTATCCGGAAATTTGATCGAAAGAAATTTCGTCGACAGTAAATTGATCGACAGTAATTTGAACGAACGGAAATTTGGTCGAATCTTTTTTTCAGTTTTTACCTTAAAATTTTGCTTCAAATTTCTTTTTGAACGCATTATTTTTGTTTTACTATATATTATAGTATATGTGGATTATCCAAGTGGGTGGATTATCCAAGTGGGCAGATTTTTCTGTCGCTAGAAGCAACAAAATATTAGAAAACAAAACAAAATAATCAACCAACCAATGGCATCATCAACATGAAACCAATGGCATCATCAAAATGAAACCAATGGCATCATCAACATGAAACCAATGGCATCATCAACATGAAACCAATGGCATCATCAATATGAAACCAATGGCATCATCAACATGAAACCAATGGCATCATCAACATGAAACCAATGGCATCATCAACATGAAACCAATGGCATCATCAACATGAAACCAATGGCATCATCAACATGAAACCAATGGCATCATCAACATGAAACCAATGGCATCATCAACATGAAACCAATGGCATCATCAACATGAAACCAATGATGAAACCAATGGCATCATCAACATGAAACCAATGGCATCATCAACATGAAACCAATGGCATCATCAACATGAAACCAATGGCATCATCAACATGAAACCAATGGCATCATCAACATGAAACCAATGATATATATTTGGAACCATTCAACCAATGGCATCATCAACATGAAACCAATGGTATATTTTTGGAACCATTCAACCAATGGCATCATCAACATGAAACCAATGGTATATTTTTGGAACCATTCAACCAATGGCATCATCAACATGAAACCAATGGTATATTTTTGGAACCATTCAACCAATGGCATCATCAACATGAAACCAATGGTATATTTTTGGAACCATTCAACCAATGGCATCATCTGTATGAAAGTAATCAATTAACAGACTGGTCGACCAAGTCTAATTAGTTTTAGAATCGAATGTTAACATTTAAATAACAAACATCACTAAACAGGAAACAAGGCAGCTGCAGTTTTCCATAAACTTTAGCAGAACTTAAAGGAAAATGTCAATGTTCCAAACAATCTTAACTGATGGATCCACACACAAAAATTATTTTCCATCTTATTGTTCAACCTACATCCTAAAAAGACTTTACAAATTAATCAACTCACATCAAAGCACATCAATAGATAATGACCTTTGCATATGAGAGAGTAGTTTACACGGTACTGGGCTGTACCAGGCCCGCAGGTCTGGACTATATGAGGCCCAAAGGGTCTGGACTAAACAGGGCCCAAACAGGTTATTCTATGTTTCCTTGATTTACTTTGGTGTCAGTGGTCTTTTATCCTTCTAATCCTAAGTGGGCTTCAGATTATGAACTAAACGATAAGAAAAAAAACAGACAGAAATGCAGAATGTAAAATTGAGTAGGCAAGTCCCAAGAAATTCAACAAATATTCTCAATTTCCGCAAAAATTAGAAACGGTTGAAATAGTATGTTTGTTTTAAAATGCAAAATGTCTCAAAATAAATTGTGTACTACATGTCAGGTCAGAAATTATATTTATATATCATGTCATATAGCATGTCATATGACATATATCATCCCATGACATATGTCATGTCATATATCATATCTTTAAAACGTTTAAAAAAATTCAAACTGAGGGAATATTTTATTCAAAGTTTATAATTGATTTTTAAAGGTGTTTTTCTCATTAAATGACAGTCAATGTTCGTGACCCAAAACACAACACAATTAGTCAGCATAAGTTGATCAGAACATAGCAAAGGATGAGGCTATGGAAGAATCATGCAACTAAGATGCAACGAAGTCTGATCATGAAATGGTTGGCATGGTGATACATATACTCAAATGCTAGTTCAAAAGTTCACGATCAACACACAGGTCACATGGTTTCACAATCACATTCTCTGATACAACAACAAACAGGTCACATAGTTTCACAATCACATTCTCTGATACAGCAACACACAAGTCACATCGTTTTACATACTATCATACAGCAACACATACGTCACATAGTTTCACATTGATAGGGCAACACACAGGTCACATAGTTTTATATCCTATCATACAGCAACACACAGGCCACATAGTTTCACAATCACATTCTCTGATACAGCAACACACAAGTCACATCGTTTTACATACTATCATACAGCAATACATACGTTACATAGTTTCACATTCTCTCATGGGGCAACAGAAAGGTCACATAGTTTCACATTGATAGGGCAACAGACAGGTCACATAGTTTTGCAATGATAGGGCAACACGCAGGTCACATAGTTTCACAATTACATTCTTTGATACAGCAACACAAAGGTGACAGTTTCACATTCTCTGATATTGCAGCACCCAGGTCACATAGTTTCACATTCTCTGATATTGCAGCACACAGGTCACATAGTTTCACATTGATACAGCAACATACAGGTCATATAGTTTCACATTCTTTGATGCAACAACACACAGGTCAAAAAAACTATATTTCTAATCAGAAAATAATGGACTCTTAATGTGTGTGCATCAAAATGTGAATTGAATCAAGTAAAGAATTTTTCTTTTCAAAGTTAAATATTTAATGCCAATCTTCCAAAGCTTATAGAGAATAAGATAACCAAAATGTTTAATTCTATCAGAAGATAATTATTTTATTACGGACGCATCAATTTGAACATCAAAACTATGTTGTAACAAGAATCCATCATATTTTTACAGAGAGAAAACTACACTAAGAAAATCTGAGCCATATATGTCTTAAAAAAGTAACTAGAATACTTAGAACTTTGTCTTAGAACAATCATCAAATTGTTATTTATGAAAGGTCAACACCAGTTATTCAAAACAGCCATACAAAAATTGATAATGTAAATAACAGGACCTTATTCAGCTCAAGGTAAAGCAAAGCATCACCAAAACAATACATCCAACAATAAAATGAAAGGCTGCACATACGGGTTGGTGAACAAAGAAAAACATGAAGTTTAGAACTACCTACAGTTTTCATTTTCTTTAGAACATATCTTTAGAACGTATTGGTGTTGACTTTCATTGGACGTTTTAAATAGAAAGGATCTTCTGTGAGATTTAAATAGTTTATACTCAGTCTAAGACAGTGGTTCCTACAATGTTGATATGGGGTATATCGATCTTTTGAAAGGATAGTTAAAACAACTGTTAGCTTTTTTCTTACTTCCTGTCAAACTGTAATTATTCAAATGAAGGTGAGCAATTAAATTATTAATTATAAATATTAAATGAGGGCAAGCAACTTCCTGTAGTTTCGAAACCACCAGTATAGATCAAATTTTGAAAAAAAATTGTGACACACAATAAGTCTACCATCTACTGTGCATTAGATAATGCTAGAAAAACTTGTAGAAACTAGCCATTAAACTGAGCAGTTTGTTCCTCCTCATTGATTTAACTACATAGGGACATTGCCGTATCAACCAAAAGCAAGTTCCCGAGACAAGTCTGTACAGAAACTAAACAATTTTCCCCCCCAGTGTTACACTTGGTACACCAGAAGTTGTTTTAACAACAAAAGAATTCACCATTGGATGCTTTCATGGCTGCTCAAAAACATTCACATCGAGTACAGAGAGGTTTGGTCATTTCACAATGGGTAGAGTATATCGTAGTGACCAGGCCTGTAGAGGAGGGTCAGCGCCGGCTTGGGGCTGCTTTCCTCTGGGCTTTCCGTGGGGTCAAACATGAAAGAGTTGCAGGTCTGCCCTTCACGGTCCATGTACTCCACACAGATGGGCACACGGAGGGCTTTGGTGAGTGCTACAGCATGGATGTGATCACTCTCCTTCCCCATGGGTTCCACCTCCTGGAAGGTAAACAATGTATTCATTGACATCGTGTGTTGACATTTGATAAATTTGAGGTCACTGGGTGCTTTGTCTAAGTTTGAAGTCATTGAGCTCTTTGTCCATGAATGATGTCATTGGGTGCTTTGTCCATGTTTGAGGACATTGGGTGCTTTGTCCATGTTTGAGGTCATTGGGTGCTTTGTCCATGTTTGAGGTCATTGGGTGCTTTGTCAATGTTTGAGGTCATTGGGTGCTTTGTCAATGTTTCAGATAGATGTGTGTGGCATAAGAAATGTTGACATTCATAAGGATGGAAATAGTTCTGACATGAGCATCCAGTCCAAGATCAGACATTTTAAAGGTTTCTATAAATCAGGGTGTTAGAAAATGACAAGAATATCTGAAAATAAGCTAGAGGTTTTCCAGACAATTGCCTAAAAATGATCCATAGAGTCTTCTGGCCTAAACTAGTCTCCCCAGAGTGACAATTAATGCAGATGCATGGTTAGGTTTGTAGAATCTCACTTTCCAGGAGAGCCCTTGGACAGCCCACATAAAAGAAACAGTGGTTTGGAAAATAATCTTCTGAATAGAAATTAACCCGGCAGAGAAATCTGACAGCAGAAGCAGATGGATGTGGGTGTTTTCACTAAGTGAATCTTTCAGATCATTATGGTCTTCTTTTAAGTTAAAAATTCAAAAAACATTTTTGACAATAGCTACAGAAGAAAAGGCAACTAGCAAGTGAAAATAAAATTGATTCTTATTGGAGACCGCAGAGCCGTTACATGGGCCCTGCAACCCCTGTCACTCACCTGGCTACAGAACTGCTTCACTGTTCTCTCACCATCAATAAAAGGGATGTAATCATCCTCATTTTTCTGTAAAAATCCTGACACCAGAAGTCTGCAAAATAAGGAAGTCAGATTTGAGGCAACATAAAATGAGAATAAATCCTTGTATTTAAAACTCCACTTTGAGGTAGGTAAGAAACAATAATTAAGAAGGTTATTCTCATTGGTCTTGGCAGGCAGGCAGTGAAGACGTTCTGGCCATCCCCCGAATAAAAGGTCAGATAGTGGTGATATATTCAATATTTCAGACAATTTTTAAAATTATTAATCCTTGTATTATATTTTTAAGTAGGGGATAGCTTACCTGAGATAGACAACAAAATAATCCGAGAGTCCCTGGTCATTGAAGGTCTCCAGTAGCTTCTCTAGTTGGCCTGGGTTCTTGACTTGTTTCACTATGTCAATAAACTAAAGAAAAAACTTTTCATTATAAAAATGTAAAAAAAACTACAAAATAGTTGTTTGGTTGTGTTTTTGAAGTGGATATAAATAGTTGAAACCATTAGAGCAGAGACCAAATTTATGATCTACAACATAGCTCAATAACATCTGACACACTTAGGATCGTTAAATTTTATTTAAAGCAATGATCTTTACTCACTGTGTCATAAAAATCTTCTAATGTGAATTGAGGAAAACCAAGAGCTATCAATTCATCTTTAGATTTTTCACATATTTCCAGAAACCTGAAACGAATGCATTTAACAAAATGAACTTGACAAAATGTCATCATTTCTAAAAACTATATTTCAACTTTCTAGAAACTATATTTCAACTTTCTAGAAACTATATTTCAACTAGGGATACTTCAGTGATTTATTTCTTCTCCTCTTCATCAGTGTGTGAGCATTATGTACAGATGTATTGAGATATTCCTGTTGGCAAAATAATTTGATGGGTTGCAAAAATGAATTTGCTTCCTCTCTTATGAAGATGATTTATTAACCTACCTCTGGTAATCTGTTGGGTTTGAAAGCAAGGTCTCCAGATAACCAAAGCCAAATGCCCGGAAAAAACAATTACCATCTCCTCTAGTCTTTCTCAGATTTGCATAGCGAGTTTTTAAATTCTAGACAAGGAAAAAGATAATAGCACAATTTATATAACAAATTGGCAGTCTTATAAGGCTGCTAATAAATGGATATTAGTGTCTGTGTTATAAGGCTCCTAATAAATGGATATCAGTGGCTATCTTATAAGGCTCCTAATAAATGGATGTTAGTGGCTGTCTCATAGGGCTCCTAATAAATGGAAATTATTATTAAGGCCAATTTTTTTATATGCCATTTTCTCAACTTGCAATTTATGACTGAAAGATTTTATACGATGAACAACACAAATTTTATTTCATTTCTATTGCATTTCAAGCTGAAAATTGCTGCACTTACAGCCTTAGTTTACACCTTATCAATGGTCAAATTATGTACAAGTATGTCTGAATTTACCTCAATTTTGTGCCTGTACACCTCGTCTTCTCTTGTATACTCCTCAACAATGTCATCAAAAGTGAAGAGACTGCTAATCAAGGGCTGAGATTCTGCAATCTTATCAAAACAACTATTTCAGTCATAATTAGCACAGACCAAATTCAGTACTCTCTAGCATATTTTGAAATAAGCAACACATTGGAACATTTGAAAAATATGCACATTTTCTTTTTTTGTGTGTTATGCTGAACAGAGGCAATGAACTTGTCTACTGTTTAGGATCAAAGATTACAACCAGTATTGATACTCTTCAGGCCTCATGTGTGCTTAAACTTACTGCCTAAAAATATAAAGGCTTAAAAAGGAGACCCTTTGCTAACTTCAACATTTGTAAGTCAGTGCAAACCAGACTGGTTATTTATAAATGATCACATCAGATTTATTGTACCTCCTTTTCTATTTCTCTTTGTTGAGCCAGAGTGTCTTCATCATAGTTTCTTTCTGGGGGAAAAAGTGAGAATCTTATTAACTTTATGTAATTAATATTGTAAGCTCATGTTTACATTTTTTACTTACTAACAGTAAAAAATTATTATAGGACTGGATAGTAAACTATTTGTAAACAAAAGAAATTTGTTTCTTATTAATTAAACAAAAATAAAACTTATCGATTATTGACAAAAAAGAAATCTCATGTGACAAATGACATGCACGTAATGACATGCATGTAGTTAGAAGCACCTTTTTTTTAAACGACCTATTATAACAGTTTTCTTTGATATACCCATTGGGACAACAGAAATCCCAACAAGAACAACCTCGTGTATTACCATTTTTTTAAAATGTAATATCAGAATGTGAAGAAATAAATTCTAGATTATGGATACTGGTGTCATGCAGTGGGATATGGTATATTTTGCAATGATTAGAAGATTTTATTAAAATTTAATTATAAAGAGGTTGTTTTTGTCTAATTTCAAAACTGCACATTTTTTATTAGTCTTACATCCATCTCTGTGCGCTAATGCCCATGTGAAGCTTTGGTCTGCCTCACCACTTCCTTCCACTCAGACCTAACTGATGCTTTTCTTTTCCATGCTTGGATTCCCAGCTGTTGAACATTTTTTTCAACACCGTCTGTCGCTCTTAGCCTAGGTCTGCCTTTGAGCCGTTTTCCTCTGCCATTTTGGTGGTACACCCTCTTCACTCCTCTATTTGGCATTCTTTCTAAGTCTCCTGCCCAGCCCTTACTGCCCTTTCTTATTTCTGCTACTAGCGTGAGATCTTGATAGTCAATTCATTTTCGGTTCATACTCTCCATCCATTTTCATCATTTGATGGACTGCATATTTTCCAGAGAATGCAAGATACTAGTATAAAGGGGTGTAGAGAGTGCCTATTGGTTGTGGGTTTTGGGTTTCCCTCCGAAAGTGTCCTATGTTTGTTCCTTGGTGTCAATAAGCAAGTGTCTTACAAATAACATGCAAGACAGTTAAATCTCATTGTCTTAGGCCTCGTCTTATCTGAAATTCCCTTGAATATTCACCCAGAATTTGATTTTGCCTTTTGAGTAGGTTTCTGCCACTTTTATTATGGTCCAAGTTTAACTTGCATATGTTACAACTGCTATGATTATAGTGTTATATTTATTTTTCTTTGGTTTATGATTATAGTGTTATATTTATTTTTCTTTGGTTTTCTTGTACATTTTTGTACTTTTGAGTATTTTGTGACTACTGAAGCAATCTCCTGTTTCCTGTTACTATTTGTTTCTTTTATTTCTGTTAGTAATTCATTTCTTTCATTTATTAAGGATCCTAGATATTTGAATTGAATTACTTTTTCAAAAATGTGGTTTCTAATTTGCATCTGTCTGTTCTCTTAACAGTCATGTATTTTTGTTTTTTTTGTTGTCTTCTTCCAGTCTTGTTAGTAGATGAGCATCTTCTTAGGGGTCATTCGCAAATTACGTCACGGAAAAAATGACCTTTTGAGACCCCCTCCCCCCTGCCAATAATCCTTTAGCCCCCCCCCCTCCAATTTAGTGTCACGTCACATCTAAAAAAATTCAAACCATACATACAATTTTCATAACTGAACTAAGATTTTATTTTTCCATTAACATTTACCCCTAATGTAATAAGATGTAGTATTCTTAGATAACTGTGACGTAATACAACGAAGTCGTTGTCCGTCCGTGCACACCCCCCTCCGAGCTGAATGTAAAATGACCCCAACAGTTTTTGCATCATTTTTCAATATGTGCAGAAGGTGTGCGCGACTGAGTTTCAAGGTACCTACAATGTCAGAGGCAATTTTGACCTTAAATTAATGTTTTTAAAATCAATTGAATAAAGATTTTTCAAAATTAGAAAAAAAAAATGAAAAAATTATTTTATGTCACAAATTTTTGACACCCCCTCCCCCCGTCACAAATTCTGACCGCCCTCCTCCCCTGAGTGTGAACATAATTTGCGGATGACCCCTTATTTCAATAAAAGCTTTTTATATATCTTTACTACTTTCCCCTAACAATGCTAGGTCACCAGCATATGCAAGATACTATAAAGGGGTGTAGAGAGTGCCTATTGGTTGTGGGTTTTGGGTTTCCCTCGGAAAGTGTCCTATGTTTGTTCCTTGGTGTCAAAAAGCAAGTGTCTTACAAATTACATGCAAGACAGTTAAATCTCCTTGTCTTAGAGATCTTCTTATCTGAAAATTCCCTTGAATATTCACCCAGAACTTGATTTTGCCTTTTGAGTTGTTTAATGTTATATGTTTGTCTTTATTTTGGTAAGATTTTGTGGTAAGTGGGTCTTCGTTAAGTTTTTGTTTTGTTTTTCTCTATCATTTCAGCCATTGTGTATTATGCTTATTCTCTGTTTATATTTAACCTTTACAAGTTAATACAAGTAGATTTTCAGAGTCTGCATCTGCTCCTCAATAGCTTCTTATGCCTAGTATGTCTGATTAATGCCTCTATTCGGTTAGAACATGGTCAATTTGGTTATGAGTGATTCCATCTGATGAGTTCCAAGTAACTTTATATATATTTTTGTGTGGAAAATCGCTGCTGCTAACTGTCATCCCTTTTCCTGAAGCAAAGTCTATGAGTCAAATCCCATATTAGACTTACACTTGACAGCTTTTTTATGCCGATAGCAGAAATTTTTCCTAACCCAAAGATTAAAATCTGAAAAATGCATTCTAACACTGCAGATCACCACATCTTTACTATAGCTTTGAATGTAGCTAGTTTCATTGCCCTTTCAGCTTTCTCTGAGTTTTATTTTTAAGAACTTTTAAATTTGCACAACACATGTTTAGAATTTTATTTGGTGACTAGGCCTGATACTAATAGATTATTGAATTAACACTTGTAAACTTAAGTTGTTCTCCTCTTAACTTTTTTAAAACTAAACCAGAATTAGTCCAGAATTTATATTATATCAATGAAATCATATTCATATTTTTAGCCAAAGTGCTCATACTCATAGGCTGTCATAGGTAAATAAATTTTAAAAACTTTATCAGTCTCAGTCAACTGCCGTTAAATTTTAAAAGTTATCAAGGTGTAGTTAGGCCTTAGATTTTGGAAGGTACTACAAGACAACTAGCTAGGAACATTAGACATTAGGATTATATTAATTTTATTAAAAATCCCCCTCCCCCCACAACCCAAATTGAATTATACTTATACTCTACTAAAAAAAAAAAAATTATATTATTTAATATAGTGATACAGGCCCAGGCCTGAATATTATTTGGGATGTCTTCAGCATTACATAGATTCATAGTCTTCCAACATTTTTTTTTCTGCTCCTAGGCCTACTTATAACAATTAGGCCTACAGTTATAATAACTAGCCTATGTCCTATAATTATAACTTAAATTAAACTATAAAGTAGGATTATATAATTTTCATACCCAGCGAATATGTTTCAAATCAACTAATCAAGCAAGTAATAGTAATCAGTAATAATCAATCAAGTTTTTAGTTTTACAAGTTTTAGTATGCTAAAGTTAAAAAATGCCTAAGCCCAAGGCAAGTTAGCCTAAGCCTAAGGCTAAGGCCAAAAAGACTATGAGTATGAATAATAAACACTATGCAAGTACTATGCAACGCATCGGATGAGTAAGAAATAATTAAGAATTAACATAAGCCTCATTAGTCATTAGGGCTACCCGGACCAGAAGTGCCGGTAGTAACTTCCAACTCCAAGTCTTAGTGTAAGAGTAAGTAAGAGAGTGAGAGAAAGTTCAGTAAGACAGACTAAAGAACGAGCAAGTTATTTAGATTTAAATCCACATAAAAAATACCTGGATCATAATCAATTGCATGAGCCTGCGCTGCCATTCTTGAAGTCCAGTTGGATAGACCAGCAAATGCTCTGAAACAGACTCAAATTATTCTTGAAAAAAAATAAAAATCATGAACCGATTTGAAGTACTTCACCCCAACCCCCGTTAACAGCTGCAAGGCGTGATCAAGGGAACTAACTCTACTTTTAAAATGAGTTTTGACAAAGTATTGGTCTTCTCCTTCTAAAATAAGAGTCTCAAACTCGCGGCCCGCGGGCCATTTCCGGCCCATAAGACGATATTTTGCTGCCCGATACCTGACAGCAAAGTTTAGTGTTAATTTGGCCCGCGCGTTTTCCCCATTCTCATATCTATAATGTGACCCTCCGCGACGGTTTCAGTCCAATCTCTCCAACTAGTCTAATTATGAATTTTATTATGTTTCTATAGGTTTGGACGTTGATTATAATGGTAAAATCGAACTAAAGGGTTTTATTTTATAGCATTTTATGAGACAAACATGGTCAAAATGCGGTTTTGAGAAAACACGATTCAAATATTGTATATAGGCCTACATGTATCAAAAGTTTTAAAAGTCAGTTAGTGGGTAATGCACAACTATAATTGTGTAAATCCTATTCGTAGCAATTTGACACAGTATTAAAGAATTTCTATTAAAATTGATGCTAGTGTGTACGAGTAGTGAGTGAGACAATTCCTTGGTCACTTTCAAAATAGGGTTAGTCAAAAAGGCCTGTTCTGTGATTTTAAAAAAAAAAACCATCAAAATTCGTTCTCCCTATAATAACATCTTCCTTCGTATCAATAATGCATAACTGTTGCCTGCTCCTGCTTTCCGTTCGAACACCTTTTAGTTTTAAAATTGCTATTTGGAATCGCCATATTTTTATTTTTATTTTATAATTTTTCGTCTTAGTTTACCAGCAGCTCATTATTTTCATAGCATTTATTTACTGAATATTTTACTTTAGATCATCGGGAATTTTATTTTCTTACTAATGATATAATGCCGTTAACAATGATACGCAATGTGACGGCCGGGTCTACTTGTGGTGTTTAGGGGTGACGCGATGCTCAACATTCGAGTTTTAATATCTTATTGGCCTAATTTTGTAATCGCTTTTTTTTTTTGTGTGTGAAATATTTGATGAGGCCCAGTCTCACTCAGATTCTAACTCCTCCGGCAACCGGATAATTTGAGTTTGAGACACCTGTTCTAAAATATGTGGTCTTTTAAGTCGAGTATTCGAAACATCTGTACGAAAAAAAAAATCAACAGGACCAAAACTCCTAAAGTTAAATTAGCAATCAGAAATAGCAACTGATTAAATAAAATTATATGTGTAATGCATTTTAATATGATTAGTTTAATTAGGTAATATTCGCTCAAATAAATCATGAAATGATACTGAGACCGGCCCCGGGAATGGGACAGTTATTAGCCAACTGTAGCAGTAAATTTTTATTGAGATTGAATGTCAGGTAGAAAGGCTTCGGCGCCCCAATTCACTCGGCGCTCGACCTTTCCACCACAGGACTTGAAAACTGTTTATTTCAAATTCGTTTAGCACCTTGGGAAGATATTAAGTTCCACGCCGACCACGCTTATGTGGCAAAGTACTTGTAAAGCATTTCTTATTATTTTTTGGAAGGGAGGGGGCTGGGGGTGTAATGTTAAACCATGATTTATTTTTAAAGTTAACCACTTTATTCCCCCCCCCCCCCCCATATATTGAAATACAAATGTTGTAAATTTTATCATATGATTGTGAATCTTAATAGGCATAAAAAGGGGTAGCTAATTTGAAATTATTCTCCTCCTCCCCCCCC